CTTTTCGACATATTCTAAAATTTTTCTGGATTTTAGCAAAAACAATTAAAAAATGGGGATGGAAATAATAATAATAATAATAATAATAATAATAATAATAATACTAATAATAGTAATAATAATAATAATCGTAATACTAAGAATCTAATAACAATAACAATAATAATAACAACAACAATAACAATAACAACAACAATAACAATATAATAATAAATAATAATAATAATAATAATATAATAATAATAATAATAATAATAATAATAATAATAATATAATAATAATAATAATAATAATAATAATAATAATAATAAGACAATAATAATAAATTAATTTTGAGATTTTTCGGAATCAGATGATGATAATGATAGTAATAATAATAATAGTAATAATAATAATGATAATAATAATAATAATAATAATAATAATAATAATAATATAATAATAATAATAATAATAATAATAATAATAATAATACTAATAATAGTAATAATAATAATAATCGTAATACTAAGAATCTAATAACAATAACAATAATAATAACAACAACAATAACAATAACAACAACAATAACAATATAAATAATAAAGTATTGTTTTCCTTTCATATATAAACTAATATTTTCTAGTAATAATAATAATAATAATAATAATAATTATTATTATTATTAATAATAATAATAATAACAATAATAATAATAATAATAATAATAATAATAATAATAATATAATAATAATAATAATAATAATAATAATAATAATAATATAATAATAATAATAATAATAATAATAATAATAATAATAAGAGGTAATAGTCAAAATGTTAATGATCATAATAATAGTAACAGTAACAATAAAAATAAGAATAACGATAGCAATAAGAGTAACAGTAACAGGAACAATAATAACAATAACAATAACAAAAAAAATAATGATAATAATAATAATTAATAATAATTGTAATGAAAATAACAATAATAATTAATAATAATAATTAATAATGATAATAACATCAATAATAATAATAACAATAATAATAATAATAATAATAA